GCCGCGCTCCAGGAGGGGGCGCCCCCAGCGCGCCGAGCCCGCCCCGCCGGCCAGTGGGGCGCCGCTGCCCCCAGACTCGCTCTGCACTCACACGCGTCCGCGGGGATTCAGGCTCTCAGTTCTCCACCGCTCTGCCAACGTCAACGTATCGCCTCTGGAATCGCCTGACAAGACCCCCCAGTTCTCTGGACTGCTGCTCGTTTGTCTCGTTATCGCCCCCCTCCCGTGACTTTCTCTCGGCACAGTGCCACTACCTCTCCAATGCCAGTCCTCCGGTGAGAAGTCCGCCCCCTCCCGGTCCTTAGAGTCTGTGAGATGCGGACGGTGCGTGAGGGTTCCAGGACAGTCAGGGAACAGGCACTCCTCTCCACAGGCACGCCTGCATGGACACCTCCCCATGGGCACTCCCAGACGGGCAGACACACACACACACACACATATACACACACACACACACACACACACACACACACGGAACCCTTTCACGGGCACCCTCCTACGTGAGCCCCCGGAAACCACCGGTCTTCTCCCAGGTAAAAGTGCAGCCTTCACGCTTTGTAGATTTCCGCTGGTCTTTCAAACGCTTCCCTGGAAGTGCCTCTAAAGGAGTCAATAGTTACGTGCCAAGACTAGGGAAGTAGGCTCTGGTGATCCATAAATGCAGGTGCCTAGACGCAGAGCTGTCCTTGGTTCTTGTCAGCCCTCCCCACTCCAGCCCAAGCTTCTCCAACTCCTCCTGTGGGCCCCCACTCATCGCGGGATTCCTGGCCAGGGGTCAGAGCGGCCACTGGTGATAGACTGTGAGCCTCATTTGCCCCAAGTGCTCACACATTAGTTCAGCAAACTTATCCCCCTCAAGGAGAGCCCTCCTCTTCCTTACTGAGTTCAGGGATAGCAGGCATTACTGTCACACTGACATAGCATTCTGTAATTATCCCGCAGAGACGTCTGCCTCCATATTGTTTAATCTGATCTACTGTGCAATTGCTGGCGAAGCTTCAAGTTTTCTCTAGAGGTAGAAGTCTTCAGGAAATACGGAACACTAAATGAGTACAATTCTCAGCCCAGATAAAGAGCTCTTTTGATACATAATAAATCTTCTCTGTGGGGCAGACACTTGGATATTAATCAGTAGCAACATGGAAAGGGTTGTACCTACCTGCACATCTTAGAGAATTGCATGTTGCTAGGATTTTGAACAAATTTCAGAAGGAGCTTCCAATAGAAAGGCCTGGTGATGTACTTCCAAAAATCAGTCACTGAAAACCCTATTGGCCCCAAAGACTCAGTAAAAAAGCTACTAGACCTCATTGGAAGATTCAGCAAAGTGGCAGGATATAAGATCAACATACAAAAGTCAGTTGGATTCCTCTCTACCAAAAACAACAGCATTGAAAAGGACATTAGGAAAGCAATACCATTTACAATAGCCACCCAAAGAATGAAATATCTAGGAATAAATGTAACCAGAGAAACAAAG